ACGGCTCCCGAAAATTCTAGGTGACCCTTCTAGGGTGAAAATTGTTAAAAATGGGCAATTATACCATTTTTTAGATTTCGAAAATCCCAGGAGAGACAGGCAAGCAAGAAATTTTACAACATGTTCCCAAAATTCTGGATCTCAAATCGTCTCCCGAACAGCTTTTTCCCGAAAAGTGACATTGGGTGCCCCTGTTAATATAGCCTCACAGGCAAGCGTTTTTAGGGGAGCTCGTTTTTCATCCCTCCCCTCTCAGTAGGCTACTGATAATACAGTCGAACCCCTCTTTACGGTTACCCGTTTAATACTGACACTTCGTCATAGGGGACAGTTTTCTTTATCCCTGGGAAAATCCCATTTACTTATTTTCTCTAAATTCAACCCGCTTAATAAGGATATGTACTGTACTAGACCTTTCCTTTGTGGAGGTAAAAAATCCTTCAGTTGACAGCATGTCGACGTTCTCAGCGCTGCAGTATACCAAATAAGATGATTTGGAGATGTCAGAAAAAAAAACGGGTCAGAGGTGATCAGTTGCCCTGGATAACTCCACAAATTCAACGCGAAATTTCGCGTCGTAATCGATTGTTTAAGAAACATGCAAAGAACCCAACAAAGACCTCTTGGGAGGAGTTCAAGAAACAGAGAAACAGGGTCACATCCCTGAGACGAAAAGGGTTGAAGGCGTTTTGCATGGAGGCATCGACAAACACTAAACATCATGGTGAGTTTTGGAATAATTTGAGATCCCTGTTGCCAAACAAAGGAAAGAAGCAATCAAAGATTCCTCTGATTGATAACGAGCGTGTAAATACTGATTCATTGTCTGTGGCTGAAACGTTCAACAACTACTTCTGTGAGGTGGCTAGGAGTGACGGAGACTGTAAGGAAATGGTTGAGTTTGTTGATCATCCTAGTGTTAAAGTCATCGCTGAGAAAACTCGAGATAATTGTTTTAACCTTGTCCCAGTTGATGTCAGCTACATAAGGAAAATTTTGGATTCTCTAGACCCTCGCAAGGCTGTTGGTTGCGATAAAATACCTCAGAGGTTGCTACGTTTATCCTCACCTGTTATTGCTGAACCGATTACCCGTTTGATCAATTACTTTATTACTAATCGACAATGGCCGATAGTTTGGAAAAGTAGCGATGTTGCTCCAGTATTTAGGAAGGAAAGTGCGACGGATAAGACCTGCCATCGACCAGTTTCTGTTCTGACTGCCTTGTCGAAATTATATGAGAAGGTGTTGCTCGACCAAATTTATGAAGCCTTTTACTGGAGGCTCTCCTCGAATCTGTCAGGCTTTCTCAAGGGTCATTCGTATTGTACGGCGCTATTGAATTTGACTGAAGATTGGAGAGCCTGTCTAGACAGAAGAGAGGCCTTTGCAGCAGTGGCTATCGACCTAAGTAAAGCTTTTGACTCTGTTTGCCACCCACTTCTACTAGCTAAATTGAAGGCATATGGGTTTACGCATGATGCGCTGGAAAGAATGACCGCTTATCTTATTGGACGGAGACAGAGGGTTAAACTTGATGGTGTACATTCTACGTGGAGAACGATAAAAACTGGTGCACCACAGGGGTCCCTGTTAGGTCCACTCCTGTTTAATATGTATGTTAATGATGTTAATTATTTTATTACTAATACGTCTTTGAGGCTGTATGCTGACGACACCACTCAATACGCCTCTGATGTCTCACCATTTATTTTGCAGTTTGTAATTAACTCCGATCTGAGTGTGCTATCGAGATAGTTTAGAATGAATTTTTTCCAGATTAATGCCGCTAAAACGCAAGCTATTGCCATTGGTCCGTCTTCATACCAGTACGAATTCGATCTTAATGATTCTAATGTCCATACGAAGGATACACTTAGAATCCTAGGAGTGGTCCTAGATAGTAAATTAACATTTAAAGCGCACATAAAGGAACAGCTGAATAAGGCCTGCGCAAAGGCTTCGGCTCTGCCGAGAATACGTAAGTTCATTTCTAAGGACGTATTAGTTCGACTCTACAAGGCTTATGTTCTCCCTCACCTAGAGTACTGTAGTCCCCTTTTACTGGGAGTAGGCAATGCGGAGACTACCAAAATAGAGACAACTAATTATTTTATATTAAGAACTATACTAGGCTATTCGAAGTCTGTGTCATATGACTTCCTCCTCAAGGTGGCTGATATCAAGTCCTTGGAGAAACGTAGGCAATTCCAATCGTTAGTTATGTTATACAGATGCTTGTATGACAAGAGGGCACCTTATATCAGAGAATTTTTTAATTTAAGGGTGTACATTACAACTTACGTGGGCTTAGCACAAGGCTAGATCTACCCCCCTTTAATCTGGAGTTTATGCATCGATCCTTTACATTTTTAGCCAGCAAACTTTGGAATGCGTTACCCCCAAAAGTCAGAGAATCACAAGACATTGTGTCATTTAAGCGATCTCTTAAAGCTCATATGGCTTAGGCTGTAGTGCTTGTAAATAGCTTTAGTTTTAGATTCTGCTTTTAGCCATCTTGTAGATCTATTTATTGCTAGTATTTTTACAGTAGTAATGTATAGGTTGTTAGCATATCTTTTTTTTAAATTTTTTAATTTTCTAATTTGTATACAAGTACACGTTTTAACGAGAACTTTAGTGCTCCCTGGTGTTACGTGTCTAAATGAAGGATTTGATTTGATTTTTCCAGACTATTCTGACTATTCTGGCATCAAACGACAATGCAGACGTTAACGCGCGGTCTTGATTAAGTTGCATAATATATAGATGAGTGATTTTTGAGCCTTTCGTGGATTTAGTCCGGGGAATGACGGCTTTGTGAAGGTTAGATATGTTTAACTCAATGATGGTAAGGTCATGTCTTAGTTCTTTACTTATGTAAATTTTGAGCAACGGACGTCAACCGGAAGTGGAATTCGGACAAAACTGCGTTAATTTCTTCCCACAATGCTGCGCAAGCATTGCAAACAAACATGGCGAACCGAAAATCGGTACTTGCAAGCAGTTGCACATAAATTTCATCTTGCCAATCGGTGATGTGACATCTAACACAGGAAATGGATGAAGACGAAAAGAGGGCCGACAATCTGGATGTCTTCTACCATCAAGGTAAATTGTGCCTGTACGGGTTGTTTTAAAATCTTCTGTCTACGGTGCAGAGCGCGCGCTTTCCTGATCTGTGATGAAAGATATAACTAAGCTTACATTCCCTCAGCAAATTGGACTTAAGGCGCACAAAAGTAGGATGAGTCTTAGGTCTTACTCAGAAGGTTTTGAAACAACCGTCAGATAGCATGTTTGATTGATGTATTTTTAAAACCTTAAAATAACTTAATTAAAGTACGTAGGATGGCTTTGCATTTATTATGAGTGTTGTTATACCGTGTACTCATTAGCTGTCTTGTCATTGGCTAAGAGCTTACAGCTAATTTTGGAAATCAGCGCAACCTACAGTTAAGTTAGTTATCTGCTAGCTAATAACTGACTAATCTGTAGGTTTGCACTCACAATGCATGATTTCCAAAATGCTGTAGCTATATGGACGGTAACCGGTCAAGGTGTTAAAAACACTAAATGACCGGCAGTTCCATATTCTCGGTAAATTTCACAAAATCGAAAGATTCTAGCTAATCTAAACTATCATATGTCAATTAAGACAAGTCAAGCGATCCTGAAATGCCTTATAGATCTCAAGTCTAGTGTTTAGTTTACGCTGGGCTTAGGAGACGAAACTGTGTTTTGTGACACTTAGAACTTTTTTCAGCTTGACTGCCGGTCAAGGTTTTCAAAACACTGGCGCTAATTGTCTGTCTGTCTGTCTGTCTGTCTTGTAGAGACAGGTAGAGAAAAAAAAAAGGCAGGGACCAACTTGAGATGTTCATTTTACTGATGTGTTATCTTATAGCAGTGATTTTGTTACAGTTGCATCCTGGGTCCCTAATGCATAAAAATCCACAAAGATGCAAAATAATTCATAGCATGTGTCCCATAGGACGCAAAGATCAATTGGTTGATCTGAAGATGTGTATTTGTAGAAATGTCCCGTTCATGTTTTTTTTAGTGGCAGTTACTATGGCTGTTGTTTAATGATGCATGTTTCTTTTATCCTTTGTTATGCTTTAAAAAAGAAGGACTATATTTTAATTTCAGTACACTGTTATACACAGTTTTGAAGTCTGTCTTCAGATTAACTGTCTAGTTATATAAAGGCCCAAGCATTTTCAATTTCGGACTTTGTTTTTAACTGGGACTCACTGGTTCTGGATTGGGACTCATGATCTTTCACAAGATGAGTCCCAGGACTCACCGTAACTATTTGTACCAAACTCGCCGTTGTAGATGAGTCCATTGACAGAGACTCAAGTGTAGTAAACTATCATGAGTGGGCAAATAAAATGCTGAAATATGATTGGCTTCTTACTCACCATCTATAGAATGATAGATAGCATGGAGCAAGCTGACCTTTTGAACAAAACAAAACATTTTAGCTACTTCTTTTTTCAACAAATCATCATGTTTCTAAAGAAGTAGATAAACTAAATACATGTACTGCAAAGCAGTCATGGAAAATTTGAAATTAGCATTTTTACCGCTGACAGATTAGTACAAATTTATTGTTCATTTGTGAGGATCGAACAATTGTTTTTGAGAATTCAAGTTGTGTAAACAATGGCCTGTTTTTTAGAAAGTTATTTCCATTCCATAACTTTTGTCAAGAATTGAAGGTAGTATGCTAGTTGATTTCTGCTAAAACATTATATAGACTAAATGTTCTGAAAGTCAAATAACCAACTTTCTGCTCTGTGTGTTGTTGACTATTGACTCATAGGAAACTTGACAACATGTAGTCTAATCATTGTGAAAGAAAATGCTTTTAATACACCAACTTTCCTTGAGTTTGGAGCATGGCATGTAACTGGAAAGAATTGGGGGGGGGGTGGGGTTGCTCTCATGATATGGCCTATACGAGAATGTGCTTCTGGGCCGGTTATGGATTTTGACCTCTTTGCCTAAACACAAGGCTGTGCTGTAAGGAAAATTGAAGCGAGTCCAGTGCTCTAGAAATGTAAAATTTAGGGTGCCCTGCATATGATTTGAATCAAAAAAGTAAGATTTTTTAGTCAACCGACCAAGAGCCAAAGTTAGGTGCCAGGGGCCACTGGGCCCTGTTAGAGCACAGACTTGTAAACAGGGTCTATAATTTTGTGAGAGTCTTTCCTAAACAGGGTATATAATGTCGTGCGAGTCTTTCCTACTTGGAAACAAGGTAATGCCTGCACGATTTAACTGATTTGCTAGATGAAATTTGTTTGTACTCTAAGTAGACAAAATTACAAAAGCGATATAAATAAAAGCCTTAAAATTAAGACGGCTGGCGTGCATTTTCTCCGTTGTCCTAAACTTGCACGGTAATGAAACTGAGGGATTGTCCTAAACAGGGTATCTATTTTAGCATTTTTTTGTCCTTAAGAGGGAAAGAGTTTGAAACCCTCAACAGCTCACCTCACCTACTGCACAGTTCCTTTTTCATGCCATTTTTTTTTCTTTAGCAAAAAAACAAATACTACAATTCCAAAGTGGAAGCATTGGTTTGTTTCCCCTGCACACATCTGGTAGAAATGAAGAGAGTCATGTACGAGACAATGTTTACTGTGCCATGGCTCTGTGGGCTCTTGGGCTGGCCTACAGGTGAGTGCAGTGGCAATAGCCCATGTGCGATGTATTAAAATTCTTACATGACTCCGAAGTTTTATGGTCATTTTACATGTACTATATTATTTTGGTTTGGTTTTCTTTGTGTGCAATACTCTTCTGGGAATTGCGCAAAAATGGAGTCGTGAAAAATTGCAATTTTGCCTCAGAGTCATTGGAATTTTAATATATCGAATGTGAGCTATGTGGTGATTTCCTAAAGATAACCCACCATACATCTGTAATTCCGTTAAAACTGTTTGTGAAAATAATGATGGTGGTGTGTTTTTGTGCCTCTGAAAATGTTTCATTTGGGCTTTACTAAAATGAAATGATCTCTCTTTTTCTTTCAAGACATCCAGTGTGGAAAGTGATTATAGTATCACAATGTAGAGGTTTAGCACATGTGAGCACTTGACTATTATTATTATTGAGCAGGCTTTTACAAGAATTTATTTGTTTATCTATTTACTTGTTTTTTGTTTTTACTTGAAAATTAAATTCAAGGAAGGATGGAATAATGCTGAAGATAATCCTGGAATGAACTATGTACTTAGGTGCAAGAGGGGGGAGGAAGGGGGTCGCAGTTAAATATGTAGTATGTGAAACCTTCTTTTAAAAACACTAACCCCTATTTGGTATTTTCATCTTTTGACATGTGCCAGTACATGTAAGTGAAAATCGGTTGTCAATGCAAGAAAGAAGGCCTTCATATTAGTTAACTTGCCAAGTTTGAGAGTGATAAGTGTTAAGCGAGCAAAGATATAGCTCTACAAAGTGAAGTTGCAAAAATTTACAGACGTTTGTAAGGTGCATCAGACAAATGTCTGTAAAATTTCACAACTTTGTAGAGGTATCTCTTGTTAGTTTTCAACAAATAACCCTCAAACTTGGCAATTTTACAAATTTAAAGGCACTCTTTCCAGCAGAGTCAATAGATTTTAGCTCACCTGCCCATAAAAAAAAAAAAAATTGAAAAAAACATGGAAAGGTCTGTTATCTGCTTGTTCTTATAGACACATGGATGACAGCCAGGGTCGGGCATATGAACTTCAACAGGCAGCTGTCAAATGTATGAGAGGAATCTTGTTCTGTTACATGCGGCAAGCTGACAAGGTAAGTGTCTGAAAACTCCAGTGGAAGAGTTATGATGCTCATTCAAAATGAAATAAAATTAATGTCTTCTGTGAAAGGTTTGAACCCAGGAGTCATTTCAAAAGGTTGAGTTTGATTGTCCGGGTGAACGTAGTCCTGAATAGGACTGTTGTTGTTGACAGTGACTAACGTTTCAACAACAATTGTATGGCGCTGGTAACTGTTGGCTACGATTCAGTGGTTGCTGAGCTCCATTTAAAGACAAAACATCAAATTGACTGGGACTCTGCGACATATATAACGTATTCTACAGACTACTATCAACGTCTTACTTTAGAAAGCTGATTTACTAACTTAGAACAAATGCCACTGAATCGTAGCCAACAGTTACCAGCACTGTACAAATGACTTATTGATGAGATCAAGCAAAACTAACTACGAGAGAACAACTGGAGAACTGACAATTTGACTAACAATAGACGACTGTTTAACTGTGACAATAGACGGATCGAAACACACCCATCACTGATTACGAGTCTTCATAGCCAATAACATCATGGCTTAACTGACAGACGACCAATAACATTGCGACATAATTTACCAATCAGATCAATAACCAGAGTATAATACCATCAACTGACACTATACAACTCACTTTGACTCTGAAGATGACTACCGCACAGGTTGTCAAAACGTCAGTCACTGTCAACAACAAAAGTCCTATTCAGGACTACGTTCACCCGGACGATCAAACTCAACCTTTCTTTTTATTAATGTCTTCTCTTATCTTTTATATTTATTTTATTATGTGGGCTTCTTTTCGTTGTCAAAATATTATTTTTGAATTTCTTTTTACACACTACAGGTGGAGCAATTCAAGAAAAACCAGTTGGGGCATCATTCACTGCATGTGAAGTTTAATGTCAACACTGGTGACCCTGTGGCCTCAGATTCAGACTGGGCTCATCTTCAAGTATGAACTATTTCTTGACTCATTACTATCATTAATAAATCAATGATTTTGTTAATCACTGATTTTTCTACTCTGCCTTTCTTTTAACATTTTACTCAAAACGTCTTGTGAAATAGTAGTTGGTAAGCTGTTACACTAGTGTAACACCTCTGAGTTTGGATTTGTGGTTCTAGTTTCAAGCCTGGTGGTGACATTTATCCCCTAGACATGAAAATTGTCTCATTTTTCTTGCTTTCACCCAGGTGTTTAAATGGGAACTAGTGACATACCACTGGGGGTAGCCTTCTGATGGATTAGCATCCCATCAGGGGTGGGGGAGGGTTAGCAATACTCAATAGGTGCTAATTATCACAGACCAAAATTGGCCAATTTCAATGTAATTAAATTCACTAAGGCTCTAAGGCTTGGGGGAATAAAATGAAAGAAATGTGTTATTCATTGCTGAAGTTCAAGATGATTTGTTTTGTTTTAACCCCCTAAGCCTTGGAGCCAAGTATGAATTTAAATATGTTATGAAAATTTGTCTAAATAGGATGATTTCTGGCCTTTGGGGCCTTCTTTGGCCAGTGCTCCAAGCTGTGACCATTTTGCTTGCCATGATGAGAAAAATCAATCTGGCAATTAAAATTAAAGCAAAAGTTGGCTCTTTCACCCTAGTGTCCTTGAGTTGTTGGGTGGCTCTCCAAAAAATAAAATTTGTAATATCGCAGAAAGTGTCCTGTGTCCTTTTTGGCGTCCATCTTATAATTTTAGGTCACCAATTGTGTCCTTAAAAAAAGTTGAGCTTGCAGCTCTGTTGGCTTGTGTGTCTCTTTACCTTAGCTATTCCAACAGTCAATGCTGTTTAGAACCAGTAGTTAGTGCACTTTGAGAATTTTGCTGAATCTAAGAAGACTTGTTATTTCATGCACCACATTCACATAGTATTTCACAGCCCTCACTAAATCAGAGCCACTGACTTCATTTGACAGAATGCATTGTGTGAATTATATAAACAGCAAGAATGTAACTGAGTTAGAATGTCAGAGTTGTTTTCAATTTTATTTAGATTGATGCTGTCTCATTGTACCTCCTAACCCTCGTCCAAATGACAGCATCAGGATTACAGGTAAATGTTTCTGATTAAACAAAATTAAATGGTCATCTAGTAAGTAAAGCTATGATACTATTTTAATTCTCACTTTTAATTATCAGAATTAAAAAAGCACATTTTTGTGGCACAAGCTCGAAATCCAATTCAATATTATATGGTTGTCCATGAACCACTTTGGATGTGTTACCACTGTTAAAACTGCTGTTTTTTACTTACTTCTCCAAATAATTTGTTTATAGTGGCTTGCCGGTTAATAGCCTGCACCACTCCCCTACAGACTAGCCAAATAATGCAGATTTTAACATTCTGCATATGATTCTGAAAATTATGTGCCTGTCTTACTCTTCAGATTATTTACACCAATGATGAGGTCAGTTTTGTACAAAATCTTGTGTACTACATCGAGCGTGCCTATAGAACCCCTGACTATGGGATGTGGGAAAGAGGAAGCAAGGAAAATATTGGACACAAAGAACTAAATTCCAGGTATTAATAATGTTAATGTTTGGGTATTAATTTTAAATAGTTGATCCTTTGGTTAGCTTTTGTTTTTGCGAAAAAGGTTAATAAATCACTGAACACCACTACCCATTGTAATTTAACGTTAGGATCGGCACAGTTCATGGTCTGAATAGCTTGCGAATACAGCCGTTTGTCTTTGCTTGTCGCTGCTACGGACGTCGAGGAGCCAGGACAGATGGCTGTTTTCTCATGCTATGGTCTGAAGTGTGAATTCAAAAGAAATGTTTGTATAATAAATTACCTTTATAGTAGTAACGTACATAATGCCTTCAGTAAATACAATAATTACACTGCATTGTTTGTCTTAAAACATAAAAAAGTACCGCAAAACAGCCAGTATTTTTGTGCACGGTCAAGACGGCCACATGCGCGCCTTGAAAAACTAATTTTAAGGGGAAAAAAGCTGTTTTGCAGGCTGTTAAAAAACAGAACTTGTTACCAAGAGTAATTTTGAGTAGTATAAAAAATAATAGTTGCAGCATTTTATACTTTATTTTGTCGTTCCTGATGCCTTTAAATATTTACTGATTTCTGTACTTCAGTTTCTTTCCGTTTGTGAACTTCACTAACCATTCTTATTTCCGTTATCTACATAATTGATTCATACGAAAGTTTTACTTCGTTTTTTTTTTCAGTTGTGTTTTATAATTATCTTTTTAGTTCTATTGGTATGGCGAAGGCTGCACTGGAGGCAATCAATGGATTTAACATCTATGGAATGCAGGTCAGCAGAGATGTAATTGAAAACTTTCAATTAGCCTGCGAGCAAGCTCTCCATCAAGCTTGTTTGCACAACAATTATCAGCTTTAAAAACTCTCGGCTTCGTCTCGAGTTTTTAAACCTGATAATGCACAACTGCAAGTTTTTTGAGCGGCTTCAAAGTCTGATATAGATCAACTCATTCTTGCACTAATATTTAGATTTGGGGTTATTTTGGTCTTAAAAATTGGACATAAAGTTAAGCCGTGTCTTTATCAGATATAAAGACACTCATTAAACATTAATTTCTTTTGTTTTTTCCTTATGAATTATTATAAAGTAATTGCGGGCGACAAGAGGAGCCCGCAATCTTAATCTCCAGGCTGTTATTAAGCATGCGTCCCATGTCTGTAGCCAGCATTCATTTGGACTTCCACTAAGAATGAAGGGACTGCACAAAACACTTAGATCACGCGCGTTTGGACCTTCTACCCCTCGTACCCCCTTGCGAGACGCAAGAGAACACGTGAGCGAATGCTTACCGCGATTAGGGTCCCTCGCTCTCGCGTCACCGTTCGCGTGCCGTTCTCGCGTGGTTCCACTATACCCTCCAAGTAAGGAGCTTCCGCAAGCTAGCACTGTGCTGCTTATTCTATTACAAGATCCCTATTCTGTATCTATTGTCCATGGATTTTCTGCTATTGAATGTCTTGCTTTGCACAGGGTACCTCGTCATCTGTTATTTACGTGGATCCAGATGCTCACAACAGAAACTACACCATCATGCATTCAATGCTGCCTGTAGCGTCGTCATCAAAGGTTTGAGTAACACTCCCATATCTATGTATATCTATGTAAAGTATACCTGCATAATATGTGGAACATTAATTGTTTTAACTTGAAATTTTGTGCTACCGAGCGTCAGCGAGATAGTACGCGATTCCTTATCTTGCGGAAATTCAGAATCTAATGCAGCAAAATTTTGTCGGATGTAACCATGCACAGTTGGTTGGTTTTTGACTATCCGAGCTTCGATGTTTGTCGTTACCTAAAATTGCACGTGAAAATCTTTTCACGAACTTTCACGTCGTTCACAGATTGGGCATGATCAGCGGCCATTAAAACCGTACTGTAAGTTCCTTGCAAGTGAACAGCGTTGCAGGACTCCCTGGTCGAAAATTTTCCCTTCTCCCTCAAGAGTCGAAGAATAATTAAACTCCAAAGTAGATTTTTTTAACCACATTGATTCAGGGTTGTATTAACGGTGAAGTGTTTTCTCTCGTCCGTCGAACAACATATTTATTCTTTTTAATATGGGTGAATGTTCTGAATCAGCGGGCAAGGTTGCCACGGGTCGGGTAACATTGTTTAGTCAAACCTTTCACTGGGCACATAAGTTGGAGTTATTGCATTGTCATTTCTGGTATTGTTATAATTATAGCTGGAATTATCCCTCCATCGCTAGGAAAAATTGGATGCTTGTCACTAGTGTGGTTTTAAGGTTTAATATTAACCTAAAATGGGACAGAAAATCTTCACAAAGCTATAATGCATATTTCTTTTTTTTTTTCGAACAGTTTTCCCATGTAATATCATGAAACTGCTATGTAACCACTCATATTGTTCTCATAGTGATATATTATCAAAAAAATTATCCTTTTTTTCAAATAGGAGACTGACGCGTCCTTGCTGATGATAACCGGATTTCCTGCTTTTGCTGTTGGTGATGAACCTCTGAGTCAGCAAGCAAAAGCCATGGTGCTAGAAAAACTGGAGGTATCTTTAGGACATTAGTGAGCTTTTAAGCTTAAAAGGCCCTGTTCATATGGAGAAAACTTGTCCCGTTCCGTCCCGGTAGGAGGGTCACTCGCCTACCCGCGTTACCCTGGGCGAGCCAATTTTTCCCACGTTTTCTTGCAAAACTTGGCGAAGAAACAAAACGTTGGCTCGGCTAGAAGTGGGTCAACCTCCTAGTCAGCACAACGTCTCATCATTTAAACACTTTAGCTCGCTCATCTGGATCAATTAGGTTAGGGCGAGACAATCAGAGCTTGCGTGAGTGCTTTTGAAAGCTCTTGGCTCAGGCAAAGGGGTGAACTTATTTCTCATATGAAGGCTCGTTGAAGTTGACTTCGGGTTTAGAGTTACCCTCCTCCCCGGGATAACTTTTGGATCTTTAGGTTTCTGGGAACTGACCACCCGCCCCTCCCCTAAGTCAGGATTATCACATACTTCTCACTTAGGGCAAAATGTTGGTTTAGGGGAGGGGGAGGTGGGCAGTTCCCCAGAAACCTAAATTGATCCCTACTTTTCTCCTTGTAAACAGGACCTAAAAGGGCTAGATAACGCTAGGGAGGCAACGTGGTCGATCGACTGCTTATAGCAATTCAAGTCCCGCCCTGACCGCTAGCTGGATTTGTTCT